GTCTAACTTCATCCAATGATGATGCACTTCAAATAAAAAAATTGGACTTATTACTCTGATATGCTCTATAATTTTGTGCGTGTAAGGTAGTTCTTACATGCCTTTATCATATAACCACAAGTTTGCTTGTTAATTCCAACTTGATTTGTTCGCTTGGCCTCCATCAAAATCATATTTAATGCACTCCTAAATACCAGCCCTTGCAACTCTTTAAATAATATTAATTATGTTCAACAACTATAAGGCTTCTTTTAAATAAAGCCTTTATCTGTATATTGGAGCTCAATAAAAGAATTGATTATCTTCCATGATGATTCAAAATCCCCATAAAATGATCCAAGAAGCTTTTTCAACTTTGCATATGCATTCTAGGCCCTAAATGAATTTAGAAAGGTATATTAATATGAATGTTATTTTATGAATTGTGAAAATCAAAATAATCTTTAAAATATAACAAAAATTACACCTATTTATTGTAATATTACCAAAGTGCATCATTTTCTTTGTCTAAGTAGCAACAAATCTATTTTTAAACTTTGTCAACCACTGTTCATTCACATATTGATTACTCTTTGATAAGTTTGGTAACAATTTTTAGTGAACTTAGATGCTTTTAGTACTCATTATTGATAGAAGAGAGCACAAAAATGCTCTACACTAACATAAATGCCTTTCATTTTTGCTTGCACCAAAAAAACTTCTTATAATTCAAAAGCACATTTCTTGATATATGCAATTTGTATAAAAGAATTATTGTATTGGGGAACATACTTTGTATTACATTCAACAATGCAAAGTTTCTATAAATAATAATGCATTAAGAAATATACCAGGAATCATCAAACTTTTTAACGTATATAGTGCCCAACAATAATTGTCATACCATTTGACTTCTATGAACACAAATGCAACAAAGAATGTCATCTCAGTAAATGTCACACCAATAATCTCAAGCAACGAGAATTTATATCTATTGATTTTATTAAGTACAATCCATAATTAGGACACTTAAGAAGGCGTGCAATAAATCTATACCAATAGATTTAGCCCATAATAAGTCTTTGACAATTCGCTTGTCTTGTTACTCTGTGCCACTCCATAAATTTACAATCTTTTAACTTTTTCATCAATTATTTCATTTGCGATCTATCAACTATCTCAATCAATCTGTATCTCTGACATTCATTATATATAATTTTATTGTGCTGATATTCTTTTTATCATGTTGTTTTAGGTAAATTTATGCTTTTAAGTCTAATCATACTGTTTGACATATCAACCATTATTGTTTTTTCTTTATTAGACAATTGATTCGTATATGAATATCCCTCTGAATGTTTTACTGGTAGATGATTATGAAACACACATACTACTTTCACAACCCTACTCATGTCTGTTACCAATTTAATCCCTTGTAACTCAAATGGATAACCATACTTTTTTGTTCTCGTTCTTTTATGATATGTTTTTTTTCCACATTTGCCTTATTATTTTATTGCTTGTATTTTTCACTTTGCTTGCATGCTAATTTTATTCTAGGTTTCCTAGCTAGATCTTCCAAATTAATGTTTCTAATAACAACAACAAAACTATTATCTTTTCCAATTTGTCTAACCCATAAAACTAAAACTTTCTTACTACAAAACACTTGTACAACAAATTATACTTATCACATTGTAGTCAATGTAAACTAACGTATGTCTCTATGTAATCTAACTTCAAAACATGATAACTCTGTTGTAGTAAATGAAAAACTACAATCATAACTTATATCCAAATTGTATGGTGATTCATTCCACTCTGCAAATGCCATTTCAAAATTGCTTTGCATATTGAAAGAAGTTAAAAAAATTAAAATGATCACATTATCGGATATGAAAATTGATAGGTTTTGTATATTTTTAGATAAAGATATCTAGTAAATACTTTATGTTAGTGGATATGCATATTTTTTAAGTTATTTTTGTTACCAAAGATGCATATTCGGTAATACATAATTGTTTTTTAATATGCATTTTGAATATGCATTTTGGTTACTTAAATACTTACTGAATATGTATATTTGAGAATCACTATACAATACCAGATATGCATATTTGGGACTAATACTGGATATGCATATCCGATAATATTATCGAATACGTTGAATATTCACATCGGTAATGTAATATTATTTTTAGATATGCTTAACTAGATGTTCAAATTTATAAGTCAAATTCGAGACAGACTTACCTCATCGTTTATTCGATCATGTTCATCTCCACTAGTTTTCTTTTTCATTTGGCTATCCATTTTTATAATGTAGAAGTTAAGACGAGTAGTTTTAATGAATTAGGGCCTAGGGTAGAATTGCAGAAAAAAGAACATGAAGAAAAAGAAAAGAAAAATGAAGAATAGAAATGGATGAAAAAGGGTTAAAAAAAGGGTTTAATAAAAGATAATTATGTAATTTTACTTAAAGGTATCTTTATAAAAAAATGCTGAAAATATTTAATAGGATACAAATGAAAACTCCGTTAACGAAATTAGAGAATTGTTACATATTCTTTCATTAAATATATATAATTAAAAAATCACATAATATAATCTTTTAATTTCGTTTATCAAATTTAAAAATTTTAAATATATATATATAAAAATTATCTACAACTAACAAAAATTAACGATTGCCACATACGTTATTAAAATGTATTTAAAAATAAAAAAATTAACATAATAATAAATATAAAGAATTATAATAATATTTTAATCTCATTTAATTTCTCTATCTTTTTTTTGTCTATTTTTTATTTTTTGAATGTTTTGTAAAATTATATCATCTTTTTAAAACTTAAAAACTGCTATTCTTTTATAATTTTTTATTTTTTTGACATTAAAAATTATAAAAATTTAATTTTATAAAATATTAAAATTTATATTAAATATTCAAAATTAATTTTTTCTTAAACTTGCTGAAGTTAAAGTGACCCAAAAATTTGGGAGGAAGGAGTGTAAAATTTTAATTCACAAATTTTGCGTGAAATAATATATTTAAAGCTGTAATCAGATTGTTAAACAATCCGATGCTCTCTTAACAAAATGAATGAAGTTTGGTATTTGCCGTATTGGCATTTACGATGAAGAACATAATGCGAAGCATTCTGGTTGATAGAATCTTATTCTTTTATATAAGAGCAAAGAAAGTTATTTCATATTTAAAGCCAAAGTAAATTATCAATTTAATTAAAATTTATGAGTTTATTAAATTTTTATTTATAAATTTTTAAATATATAAATTATTTATCAATAAAAAATTATAAAAAAATTTAAATCTAAATATTAATAAACTCAATATTCATCTCTTACCGATTCTGTTCACACTGTCGACAATTCTTTTTATAGTTTTTTCACTGCAAAAATTGGGGAATGGAATTGAAATATGGCATATTATTTTACACACAGAAATTACATCATCACGCGCAAAATACGGCACCAAAATCATCCCTCCACTCACGATCTGTCTCCAATATCACTAAATGTACTCGACCAAAGCTAATGACAGATAAGGTGATTTCCATAATCTTATTTTAACAAACGGCATTTTCAATTTTTAAAAATTAATTGTTCAAAAATTTTGAATAAAAAACAGGTTTAAAGCATTTATAATTGGAGTTATTTTTCATTTACATTTATGAAGCTAACGACTCAAATAACTACTCAGATTACTCATGTTAATCTTCGTGTTTATTTAAAATATTTTTTTAATTGAAATCTTATTAATATTAATGCTAAAAAAAATAAGATTTTGATGAAGTTGCAATTATAAGAAAAAGATACAATCATTATTAAAGTATTAAATCATATAAGAAATTGCTTAATTAAATAATAAAATCAATCAATCAAAATTAATAAATAATTAGATAAATGTAACATAAAATTAAACTAAATTCACATATAATAAAACTTTAATTTATGACTTAAAATTTAAAGACTTGTCTTTTGTTACTAAACTAAAATCTCATTAGTAATTGAATGATTAATATTAGTAGCAAAAAAATGTATTTATTGCATATAGAAATGCCAATTTTATGTATATTCGATGAAGATTTTAACTTTTTTATCTGAATAAAAATATGTATAAGTATTAAATTTTGAAAAAAAATTAAAAATGGATATAAATTTAAAATATTCTGAAAATAATGATAGGGATGCGTAATATATGTATATACATGTAGAAAATGTTCAATATTAATTTTTTTTGAATTATTATCCCTTAAAAATACTACTTCAATATATGCAATGAAAATAAATATAAAAAATAAAATTATAAATTTTTAAAATTCAATGTTTTACATTATCAACAACATATTTATTTTCAGTATTAATTTTCAGTAAAATACCAAATAATTTTTATAATTTAAATTCAATACTTATCAAATTTAATATTAAAAATTCAATACTTAATTTTTCAGCACTTAATTTTTTTAGTTTATCAAATATAACCTTACTTTCCCTTTTTTCTATGTTTTCTTTGTACTTTTATTTATTTTAATAATTATTAAATATTTTAATATTTTATTTTTTAAAAAACTACGAGTACATAAATCTTTATATCCAAATCGTAAAATCATTATGAAGATAAAGATAAATATAAATTTTTATTCAAAAATAAATAAATAAAAATGAATATAATATAAAAAATACTAAAAATTAAAAATACTTTACCAATTTAATACCCACCACATCTTTAATTGCATAATGAAAGCAAAAAAAATATCAATAAGTGATTGGTTCAATAAATTAAAATTTATTTTTTTTAATTAAAAAAATTTTAAATTCAAATTTTATCGATAATTATTTATTAAGATAATTTCAAATACTCGACCTACAACCTAGAATTTTTTTCTTACCACAAAAAAAGCGCAAAAATTTTTATCTCAAATTTCACTTGTGTGTAATTATTTTTCTTCAGATACACTTGTATAATTGTACCCAAAAGAGTACACTTATCTAATATTTTCCTCCAAATAAAGAAAACCTTCGTCCTTTCATTTCAAACAGGTTTCTCTTTCAAGCAGGTTTCTCTTTCTCCTTATGTCTGTTCATCTCCCAAATCACAACCAGCCAAAAAAACCTGTAGAGAAAATCTTTGAAGAAAAGACACCATCATCAAACTTTGCTCGACCATAACAAATAACCAAACGGTTTTCTCAAAATTCATATAAAAAAGAAAAGAAAAGAAAGAAATTAAGCTCCATTTTGGTATATTCCACCAAAAAATCCAATTCTATTAGCAAACTGAAAACCATATACTTTCTTCAAAAACCAACAAAAAAAAAAACCCAGAACCCGTTTCAATTTTGGCATCAAAGAGTTTTTTGAAAAATTTTGCAAAATTCAAGCATTATGTGTGTTTGTTTTCAAGCAGATCTGATTATGTTGAATAACAAATTTTGATTTGACACCTGGAGGCAGGCCTTTGAATTTGCAATAAAATCATTAGCTTTTTATTGAGTTTTAATGGATTTGGATGATTTTAGATCAGTTCTTGAAACAGCTGGTGTTGATGTGTGGACTTTTATAGATACAGCAATCCTGGTGGCTTCTTTGGATTATGGTCAAGAGTTGAAGCAAAAGAGAGATGGGATTGTGGAGAAGCTTTATGCTGCTTCTATGGTTACTAGATGTAAAAGCTGTGATTTTGGTGAGAGATCAAATGGATATCAAGTTAATAAGGAAGGCAACCTCCATGAAGGTAAAGGAGGAGAAGGAGGTAAAGGGTCACCTTTTACACCTCAATCGGATAATGAAGATGATGATTTGGATCCCTACGGAGGCTTGTTTGATGATGAACAAAAAAGGGTTCTTGAGATTAAGGAGCGTCTTGAAGTACCTGATCAGGTCTTTGAAACTTTTCTTGATTGTATTGTTGGTTTGATATTTTGGATTTTGATTTGAATTTAGTTTTTTTCTTATTGTTTTTACAGTCTGAAGATTCCTTGGTTGATTTGCTTCAAAGCTTGGCAGATATGGATATAACATTTCAAGCTCTCAAGGTAATAATTATGTGGAGCGAATTTTTTTTTTTATGGGTTTAGTTTCTAGTTTAGTTTGATTCAAGACCATTGACATATTATGATTCTATCTTCAGGAGACTGATATTGGGAGGCATGTGAACAAATTGAGGAAGCATTCATCAAATGACGTTAGGAAATTAGTGAAGCAACTTGTCAGGTTTTAATAAGCTTATGGAAATTTCATATATGTATAAATGTTTTGTTATGTTCATTTAGTTTGAAAGAGCAGTTCAAGGAAAGTCTGATTATATGATTTGGGTTTTTTGTTTCTCCAGAAAATGGAAAGAGATTGTAGATGAATGGGTAAAGGTGAATCAACCTGGAGAACTTGAATCTGCTGCACTTATGGGTAAAATTATCATCTAAACTGTAACACGAAGAATTTTCATTTTTGTGAGAAAATATTTCAAAGGTGAATGGAAATTGACATGTCATTAAAGTGAAAATGACAATGAATATTGTCTGGCAGCTGATGGAGATTCACCACAGCAAAAGTTTCCTCAAAATGGTCGTCAACAGGTGAAAGAAATTATTTTTCTTGTGAAAGTTGTTTGAAAATTCTGCGCTTTTTTTTTTCTCTTTCTAAGATTCTGCTCTGTTATAGGTTCCTGATTTTGCGTACTCTCCAAATCCACACAGTGAGTACAGAATCTGATTCAAAGTTTGATTTGATCGTTGTTTCTTTTGTGCATTTAATTAATCAGCCTTCCTTTCAACGCTTTTTTGGATGACAATTGACAGATGGGAGTTTTGGTTCAGACAAGAATAATTCAGAACCAGAAAGGAAGCCAAAGCCAATCCCTCCTCCTCGAAAGGATCCTCCACCTAGACCTACTCACTCAACTCCTCCACAAAATGTACAGGTATTAATACATTCCAAATTAGAGCCTCTAATTGCATCATTATCTTGTTGATGGACATGGAGGTCTGTACCAAATTTAGAAGCAAATGCTTTCAAAAAGATTGTTTGCTGTTAAACTGGCATTTTGACAAATTCCTATGATCCAAGGTTTATGCTTCTCTAGGAATGAGAAGTTGTAGTTACAATGCCCAAACAGTTTATCTTAGCAAAAATGTCAAGAAAGGGAAATTCAACTTAATTTAATCATTTTAACCTTGCCCAAAAAATTCAGTTCGGCTGAGTTGATTTTTGGTATAAGCTTTGTAACGTCTATTTGTTGAATTGCCTTTCTGGGGATTTTGTGTAGAGACAGAGAGAACAGAAGGAAAGCAATTTTGACTCTGAAAGGCTGGCTTCTGTAAGAAAAAGGCTTCAAGAAAGTTACAAAGAAGCTGAAAATGGTTTGCTTTCTTCTCTTCTTCCACATTTTATTTAATCTTGAATCCCTCACTTCAGGTTCATACTAAATGTGATTGTCTGTGGTTTTCCTGTGCTTTTTGAAGCCAAAAAGCAAAGAACAATACAAGTAATGGACATACATGAGCTACCAAAACCCAAGAATGCCTTCTTTGCAAAGAACAAGGGAGGTGGTTCCCAAGGGAGGCACTGGTGAATGGGTGAATGAATTTGGCATAAGGACATCCCATCTTAGGTTTTTCACTTCTACTTTTCTTTGTGATCATTGTATGAGATAGGACTACTCCATATCTTTGATGGGTTATCCTTCCATGTTCTTTCATGGAGATGTACTGAATTTTTTATCAATCATCTGAAATTCTTGAGGGGAACGGACATCCATAACCATTCAATTTGGGGATGTGCTGTGATTCTTTGTTTGACACATGTTACCTAACCTCCCACCCCAAATGTTCCGTGTTTTTAATTTGTAATATATGTGAGTTTTCTTGAAAGATAACTCCTTGTTTTGGAAGCATGTTAGTATCTTTCTTCTTTTTTTCAATGCAAGCTGACTCTACCTTGAAGATAAGAACTGACATACAGGGCAAACACATTATTTGGGTTAATGTGTTATGTATACTACTGGTAGCAGTATTTTGCAGGATATGCTTATGAGGAAAATTTACTTTTTATTTATTTGTCCGCTAAACTTCTTAAAAGTTCCATAAGATAACCACTCATAAGTATTTCTATTCAATTCACAAATGCTTTCTTGTGAACATTGATGGGGTGCACAGAGATTTATTTTTCCAAAAAATTAATTTCTGCCATCATGTTTATGTTTTGAATTGTTTTTCCCAATTCCTAGCTGGGATGCTCAGGTGGCGTGGGAAAATTTTTGAACTTGGCCATGAAAAGAATTATGAAAATGGCATTGGACAGACTGAAAACTACATAGCTTCCATATTCAGAGATTGTGATTTTTCATTCTTGTTGTTACCAGAAGCCAGCTCAGATTATGTTTGTTGAGAGTCTGACCGATGTTGTGTTTCATTTTACTGTTAAATTTTGCTGGTTATATGATAAGGCTCATTAACTTTATTGCAACTGTAGAGAGAGGACAAGGGGACTCTGCATAATTACTACAGATCTATAAAAGCAATGAGGTTGATCAATCGTATGTACTCTATTTGTTGGGGCTCATGCATTGTGGTTGATGACTTTTAGCTTTTGTTTTCTTCCAGTAGTTGCTTGTACATCAAAAGATGATTGAATAAAGCTTATTATCACCTCTTTAACTGCAGGTTCTTTGCAGTTATCCTAGTATTTTTGTTCCCCTCTGTGCAATTATATTATTTTTAAAGGTTGCGTTGTTTTTTTTATCTATGCCATTTCATTTTGTGATACTTTTCTCACTTCAAGCTGATTGCTTAGCAAAACATTTCTCCCTTCACCACCCAGAAATTCCAAACCAAATCCTCCCCCAAGAAAAATGAAAAAAAAAAAAAAGAAAGATCAAACATCCCTCTCTTCCTCTAAGATGATGTTGAGTTAACCATTTTGTTTTCAATTTTGCTCGCAGGTGGTGGGAATTAAATGGTCATCTGTTTCCTATGTTTTAAGTAGACCAAGAGAATAATAAGGCTCTCTTTAAGTGGTTTGTATCTTTATCAAGTGATCAATTGCACTTCAGCCTTTGTTCAATGACCACAACTGTGAGAGAAATTAGCCTTCAGCTTATTATGCTGGTTGTTGGATGTAATTGATTCTGCTGCTAAGGGGTATTCTCGTATAACCTCAAAGGATATATATTTTTATGAATTGTAGATTTGCTTTAAGGTAGCAGTTTAATAATACATATTTCTTAAACTGAAATTGCATGAGCAAGCTTTGTTGGGGAACCTGTGTGTTGCAACTTATGATTTATAGGTGTTATAAAGTTAGAATGCATAGAATGTTGAAAATCTTGAACTTGATTCTGTTGCTATGTGAATTCTGGATATTCTTTTACATCTCCCTTCAGGTTTTGATAACTGCAACTTGCACCAATCTGGTGCTTTTGCATAACAAACAAAATGTTATGACGTCCAAAAGAATTCAAAGTTCTAATGTAATTTCAAGTGCTCATTGTCTTGAAGTTTTACCAAAAGTAATACTCAATATTTCTCTTTTTGTTTTGTTTTTTCTTTCTTTCCTATAAATTTATTTTTTGTAGGTCAACACACTGTTGAGTAAAGTTCTTTAAAACTCTTCTCCCTGATTGCCTATAATCACCACTTGTAAACCTCCTGACTACGTTGGTCCTTGGAGTTATTCTTACATCCAAATGTGGCTATAAATATATAAATATTTTATGTTTACACGTATGTGTCTGCCAATCTCTTTATTAGCAAACTGAGTCTCCCACAAAATTTTTCTGGTCTGCTTTAGGCTTCATTTGAATGGGTGGTGGGAATCCTTTTCCACTGTACCGAGGTGTTGTTTAGCTGCTGAACCCTAAAAGTCATTTTGTTGCTCGCTGCAGTGGGAATCCCTCCCACCGCCAGTCTAAATGCAGCCTTATTGACGTCAACCTATAAACATTAAATGTCATTACATGTTATCTCCACCCTTTGAATCTGAGAATTTAATGAGGGCAAGGCTTTAAGGATGAGCTTCGGGAGTAAAATTTCAACTATGCAGATAGGAGTAGTTTCACATTGTTTTTTGAGAGCAAGAATGCTAAGGTCAATGACTAAAGAATTGTATCTTGGTCACTGCAACACTTGAGTTGAACTGTATCTAGTTGGTGTTAATCCTTGCTAATGCATTTTATCTATGATTCCTGATATTTTGATCTTTTAAATTTTACTTTAGTTCTTTGCTCATCTCGTATTATTAAGTCATGTTCTGTTTAAATGACAAATATACTCCCAAGATCCCTCCAATCCTTGAGTCTTACTAAATGAGTTATGATCCAACTGAGTTGGGGGATTAGGGGATTTCTGAGATTACAGGTATTTTAAATATGGGACAAATTTCTTCTTTGCTGTTGTTTGGCATTTGATTGTTTTCCATCAAACCTTGTTTGTCACACTTTTGGTGATACTTATAAGTAAGCTCAACTGCTTTGAAGACCTGATGGAACATGAAAGTTTCAAGTTTCTGTTCCTTGTGTTCTTCAACATGCTGTGAATGTTAATTTGTTATTTGTTGTTACCATATTTGCCTGTAAACTTACTAGACAAATGATAAAATATTACTTAAAACAGTAAGGAGTACTAGTTCTGAATCTTTGATATGATGCAGGGATGCAAGACATGGTCCTGCGTCAAATCATTTTCATTTCACATTTATTTTATCGAAAGAGAAAAATTTTACCATGTATTTACTTTTATTGGCCTTAAAATTGCTATACAAATACAAACTTACTTGTCTTGTTCCTTGAGTTTTTCTAGGCTTGCAATTGCTAATCATTTCTTGTATCACAGCGCCACAGATTATTATTCTTCTTAGATTTGCCTACGGGCTTGACTGCTTTGCTGCATTTCAACATGAAACACCAGCATCAGGGAATTAAGTCATCCTATGTTATTATTCTGCATAGATTGTGCCTACTGGATTGATTGCTTTACTGCATTTCAACATGAATTCGGCATCAGGGAATTTAGTCAATCCTATGTTATTAATTTGGCTGTACTCAAGTGTATACCATGTATTGGACGTATTACTATCCTGTTAGCAGCCAAAAGTACATCCTTTAGCTTAGCTTCAAAGATGGCCCGACCCTAAAGAGCTTATCGAATTTGTCAAGTGCTCGACTCTTTCATATTTTAGGAAGATAAGCGGCACTCTATTTTAGAAATTAAATTCAAGTAGGGATAATGGAATTTTGTTTAACAGCATCATTGCTGGGAGATGCTCCCCGAAGTTAAGATTATGGTTACATGGTTATGGAATCAACTGAGAAAAAGTTGATAAGAACAATTTTTTTTTCTTTTTTTATGGGAGACTTGAGTAATGAAAATAATTTTTGGGTGCCGAACGAAACATTGCATTGTCTATGTATCAAAAAGCTTTCTTGTCGAAAGTTGTGTTGCCTGTGACCTCAAAATCTAGCAGCTTGTTCCTGGGGATGATGATGAATATTTTTCTTTGCTGTCTCGATTGAAAATACCTTTTTGGGGAAATGAGTGAAAACATTCCCGACTTACATGTGTCCTATTAAGATAAAGCTGGATTTTCACCAGGTACTGCACCATTTAAATTACACAAGATTTCACTCTACCACGCAAAATGATCCTAATAATAACAGGTAAAGTGTGGCAAAAATCAACCCCCATATCAAATCATTTCCATTGCTCATGATAATGCACCTTTTTGGATAAGTGGGAAAAGAGAGCTATGCTCCATGCCTTGACGAGATTAAAAAAATATATATCCTCCATATTTTTATCCTTAAAATGTAAATTCCCAACAAAAAACACATTTTATTCCATGACTTTTTGGCATTTCAACATTAATGGGAAATATGAACCTAGCCTTGAATCTATTCATTATGATATCCCATAAAATGTTCTATTCCAAATATATACACGTCTCACCAATACTCCACAAGATTTACTTTGCTGAACTTCAGAATGTTCAAAACATACTAAACGAAATAACATGTAATTTCCTTGGCTACATTATGTTGCAGAAGTAATGCAGAAATGAATATAAACTTACATTAGATTTAATCCTACAGAAAACAAACGAGTACAACATTCACGAATAAATTGAATCCATAATCGGAATAATGTGATAGAGAAAAAGGATGATGATGAGAACATATAATTATGTACAATCAACATCAAACCAGAAATAGAGACAAGTTCGAGCATAAATGACCCGAACTCGCTGTAGTGCTAGGTATCCACCGGTCAAAACAGCCTTTGCTCCTCCTTCAATCCGAGTGTGCGAAACAGAAACGCTATCACCATGGCCCTTCAGTTTGGAAGGGAATACCCCACTACCAGCTGTACTTACGATTGGGCATGATAGATAGTCCAATGGGTTTGATTCACACTGAAGGATGCATTCTTCTATAATTAGTCTTCCACTCCTATGAAGCAAGCAGCAACCTAGCTCCGCCTTTACTGTTAAGTTTGTCAGCTTGCAGGTGGACAGAAACTCTAATGCACTGCTCCAACAAAATGAAAGGCCCATACAAACCATTGTTTCTTTAGATAAAAAAAAGCTAGTGGTGACATAATGGGAGCCATCTCCAGACTGTTGGATATCCATATTCTTTCATAGCAGCTCGACATGCAATCCATTCTTTTATTTTTATCGTAAACTTGAAAAAAAATGTTTTCCAGCAATCCTGGGCATCTCTCATTTTATAAAATATAGCTTGTAGGTAAAAGCATCATCAAGATCATCCACTGACTAAAGAAGATTAGTGACAGAATGATCTTGGACTCATCCCACCATATAACATTTTCATTAAAAAGGAAAAAGAGAAATGAAAAGAAGAAAGTCCACATTGATGTTCCAAGATCATCTGACCATGTTTGAAATTAGTAAGAACAAACAAGGCTTATGATGTCAAAGAACTCACTCAATGTGAGCTACATGTGAACCACTATGGCCCTTTAATCATATGGCTACTGAAATCCAAAATATGAAGGTGACTCCTCACAGCATTTCTAGAGAGAAACATGGAGAAGCCTCTCAAAGAATCACCATGTGCATATTAGGCAAAAACTAGTGGAGATTTGCAAACCTGTCAGAACCTCGCAAACAGAGGAGAGTTGTTTCATCAGGAATCTCACCTCCACCAATCTGCAGAAACTAGGCTGAGATAGAAGCGGGGGAAAAAATGGAAAATTTTGATACAATAATCAATAAGAGTTAATCTTCCTTCCCCATACATGTTCTTCATCTCCTTACCAGGGGACAATTACATAGTGCAAAGGGGGGGACAGGGAAAGGGACATGGGTAGTAGTTGGCCAACAGCCATCCATGTTGGGACACCTAAAGTAGAATCCTAAATCATAAACGCTACTCCTAATTGAGAAGAGGTTATAATTTAGTATAGAGCAGGGATTAAAGGAGGGTAGGGAGCAGTGGCTGAAGGTTTGCCACAGCCAAGAATTGAATAAGCTGCTATTACTAAAATGTAATTTTAATTCATATCAGGCCCAATAGCAGAGAGTTGTAGGCCTGTATTTTTTTTTTCTATATATCTTTTGATGGCAACATTATATCTATACAGAGGACGACCTTTGGTTGTTCATATATTTTATAACAAAACATTAGACATATAACATGTCTAGAAGTGTATTTCAAATAATACCTAAATGAAACATCTTTGAGTGCATTTACAGAAAAAAAAATCATATTCATTAAAATATGATGAAAAGTGTACCGACATAAATAATAACTATAGAGGGACTAAAACAATTATATGAGAAAGAAATTAAGTTTCTCCTTTCTCAAATACAATGGTAAGGTATTCAAAAATATAAGAGACACCAAATATAGGATGGCACATTCAATGCTAATGCTTATGGAAGTTCCCTCCAAAGGTAGATCATATAGTGGCCATATTAAAACATTTTCTCAATATTTCATATTCAAACTTCAAAGAGTAAATGTATAGCAAACAAGCAACTCATATATAATATAAGCAACTTTCCAGAACCCTATGGACATACCAGGCAAAGTGGTTTTCTAATCTGAATATTAGAGGCAAGATGACTGCCGCCAGCTGCAATTAAAATAGTATCGCCGGGTCTAAAAGGGAAAATTTGATGATATGATTTCAGTAATCTACCATATGATCCCAGAACCACAAAGTGGAAATTTTAGTTTTACATACCTGGCCGCAGAGACAGCTTCTTCAATGTTAGGGAAAACACCGGGTTCAGAGAAATCCTTCACAGATCTGTCAACTCGCAGCCACAATCGAGGGTGGCATGCCAAATAACACCATCTGTGGCAAACGAGGGCGGTGTTATACCGATCTGCAACTCAATAGCACTACGTGATAGAGATTGCACTTGATAACGTGATAAAAGTATCAGGAATAACCATGCCTACTAAAATGCTTTCAGGTCACTAGAATGTGACACTTTGAAACACCAATCTGAAAATCCATTGGTCCTCAAATGAAAACAATGAAAAAAAAATTAAAACAAAATGAAGTGGTTTCAAGGAAGAGGGATGGAAAATTTGGATTTCAAATTGTTGGTTCGGTAAAATCCGTAGCATTCTTAATCCAACTATCCTAAATCCGTAGCATTCTTAATCCAACTATCCTAAATCCAGACATTAGGTATTGAAAACCAAAAACCTAAATCTTAAAGGACAAAAAAAAAAAAAAATTATTGCACGAAATTAATCTTCCAATTAAGAAATCTAACGCAAACCCCAATTCATATTCTTAAAAGAAAAAAGAACTATATGAATTAAGGACATCACATATACTTTCTTAATCCAACAAATTAATCACACTAACCTTCACCCATTCCCTATAAAACAGAAAATAACATTTGACCATTTAAGTGAAAAAAAATGGAGTGATACAAATTTCCTAACACATAGATGAGAAGTAAAACATTAAAAATTAATACAAAAACTCAATTGCCTACTAATTGTACCTAAAATAACTTCAATTAACCTTAAGCCAACTTCCTATGAAACCAAACCAACAATTGAGTGAAAAAATACATAATTTTCTTAATACCCAGATGAAAAAATACAAAATTGAAAATAAATAAAGAATCTTAGCTACAAAAGAACCAATCTTTGCACAGTTCCATGAAATGGAAAATATTCGTCAAGAAAAAGGGTTTAATAGAAAAAAAAACCTGGAATGGGAGATAAGAAGCTGAAGATATGCATGAGACAACCATCATCAAGATTATTAATAGGAGCAGAAGAAGAGGAAATCTTTTCATTTTTGTTGCTTCTTGTTATCTTCATTGACTTTCTTCTCTTTTTCTGCTCCTGCATCTCCATGGCCTTTTGCCTAGGACGCTTTGCAAAGAAAAGATAGTAATTTATTTCTTTGGATTTTTTTTTTAAATAAAAAAAAAGAATTGTTTATTACCTTATAAAGATATTGACTGCGTGATGATGCATAAGTAAGCAAGGAACAAAAATCCGACACGACAGTCAGTCGACATGAGTTAAGTACCTCGGTTGATTCTTTAGAATTGGGCTGGATAACTAAATGGGCCCATTGATTTACGGGCCGAAATTTGGGCAAAAATATCAATGTCTTAAGCCCAACCCCTCGGGCTCGACAGTCCTCGGCTTTTAGATTTATTTTGAAAATTCTATAACCAAAAGATTAAGATTGCATTTAGAGTTAACAACGGATTGGATCTAAGTAGATTTTTACTTAGTTCGAATTTGATTTTATATTCATAAAATTTGACCTTTCGATTTGATTCAAAAAATTTTTATTTTTTTCATATTCGAACCCAACTCGATCTGATATTGTATAAATTATACTCGATCCGACTCGATTCAAAATTAATAAAATATTATTTTTTAAAATATAAAATATTATTTTTAAAATGTAAATATAATTAATTAATTAATAAAAAATAATTTTTATATAATATCGGATTAAGCTGAATTTGCCTAAAATCCGAACTCGATTCGAACCTTATTTTTTCTTAACATTACTTGATCCAACTTGATTCAAAACCCAATTTTCAAAAAAAAAATTGATCCTGTGGAGTATGGTCAAGTTGAGATCTACAGAGGATGGGTTGAGCTACCAACCCTAATTTTGATATCATCGATCTTCCATTTTGGTGCGTTTAACTTGCTCTTTTTTGTGTAATTGTACTCAAAATAATATTTTACAATAATTATTTTAAAATATATCAAATTTATTAATAATAAAAAATGTAAACATATAATAACAAAATTTACACTTATAATTATGTTGATATGTTAATATATATGTATTATATAACAAAATGAATATATTAAACAATTGATCTTACATTTTTTTAATTATAAATAATTAATAATATTTTTTATAAGAATAAAATTATTTTTTTACAATATTAATACATTATTTTATCATATTTAATATTTAAAATATTAAAGTAAAAAAATCACAAAAATATAGTTTTTTAATAAATTAAAATTTAAAACAATAAAGTAAAAAATTTGATACATAAATTAAAACCTTCTAATTTTTTACATTGTATTTTTACATTATGAAAAATAAAAATATATTTAAACTAATTATATTAATTATTTTGACATGTAACAATTTAAAAAAAAAATGAGTATGCAAAATATAATAAAAAAATTGATTGAAAAAAATTTTATAATTGGATATTTGTCAAATCGATTTTATTAATTGTAATACTTACATACATATATATTAAATTTAAATTTACATATTTGTGAAAATATAATGTTGATAAATTTATTATTTATTTTAAAATTTTAAAATTATTTATAATAAGTAAATACAAGTTAAAAAATTATAATTTTTTTGAAATTAAGAATTGTAATTTTTGATACAAATAATTTTTATAACTATTTATCTCATATAAATATATAAAATAAAGAATGATATGTATCAACATAATAAATTTAGGTTTGAGAGGACCTAATTAATTTTTATATAAAAATTTTTAAAATTATTATGAAAATAACATATGTATGAAAAAAAATTAAAATTTTTGGAAGGCCATGGCCCTGGGTTTTTTAAAGCAACCGCCAATGGTCATGATGAATTGTTTGGTAACATGTTACAAGTGCGATTGAGCATAAAAACTTCCACGTCACTTCAGACTGAAGGTAAGAGGGTTTGGTGGGATTTTTCATTCCCACTCGTTGATGCGGGTAAAATTTTTTTGTTTTATCATCTCTATTTATCATATATTTTATAAAATTGAATAATTAAAAAAAAATTGACACATGAATATTTTAATTAATCTCAATTTTTTTATAAATTTATTCAATAAAAAAATAAAAAATTTTTTCTAAAATAAAAATGAAAAAAAAAACTCACTAAACGTGTAACATTGACACCTTAAGTTTAAAATATTAATTTATTAAATTCAGATAAAAAATAATTTTATTAATATAATATATATAATTAAATAAATAATAAAATCTAAATTATATATATATATATCTTGAAATAGCTCAAAAAAAATATTTTAAATATGCTTTTTATTCGAACTCATTTTTGTTTTAAAAAAAATCAATCTATTTCAATGTATATTATTCAAAAATAAAATAATAAAAAATCCACTTAACTCATTTCAAAGTAAAATATTATATAAATATATGAATATTTTTAAAAAAATAAATAAATTTTTTTTAAAAAACTTGACACGTGTAATACTTTTGGTATTTGTGAGATTAAAATTAAAATCTTTAAAATATTTATCAAATATAAAAAATAAAAATATTAAAAAATAAACACGTGATACTAAATGGATCTCATAAAAAATAAAATCTTAAAAAAAGTAAAAAATAAAAAAAGTTTGGTATAAAATGGGTCCCACTTAAAAAATAAAATTTATAAAAATATTTATTAAATATAAAAATTGATAAAAATAAAAAACCTAATAAAAAGATAAATATGTTAAAAAAAAAAAAAAAACAGGTGGCTTAAATTTTAGTCATGTATTTTTCATCCGTACACGACCAAAATTTAAGTAATGGATTGTGCACTTATGTCATCTGGCTTTTTTTTATCTGCTTTTTATTTCTTTCAAAACTTTTTTTTAAATGAAAATAATTATTATTTTGATATAAAAATAATTATTATATTTTCCTAAATTATCATTAATTCGTAATCAATTTTTTTTATAAAAATGATATATTATTATATTATTATTAATTTTTAATTATTTATTAATTTCATAAATATCTATAAAATTTATATTTTATTTAAACTTAAATTTAATACACTTAATGATCATTTTATTTTCACACTATAATTTACAATATTGTCATCGTTGCTTTTACAATAAAATATATATTTAATCATTAATTTAAATCTTAATATTATAATAATTAATTTTAACTTCATCACTATTTAAAATTTACTAAAACTAATCTGATCGCTCATTTAAATAAACCTTAAATTGTCTACTCATTTAAATAAACCCTAAATTATCCTCAATTGATTCTCTGAATTTAAGTTTTTGGAAAGTTAATTTAAGCACATGTGTTCATCCGTTCATATAGGGAAATTGAGTGTTTAATTGATTTAGAGAGGTGATTGAATCTTTTTAATGTATTAAGTGAGGGCATAATTGGAAGTTTGGGATGGTTTAAGGGATTCTTAGGATCTAATGGTAGGGCTTAACAATTTTACAGTCATTTATCACAAGTAGTTTGAAAGAAACAAGTTTGGAGTAGCCCTTCTGCTAACTATTTTTACATCAATTAATCAAATTCCTTTTCTTTTCATTAAATGGTAAAATCTTATGTTTCTTCCAAAGATCTTAAGATCATTTAGTTTTCTTTAAAGATCAGAACTACTTTTTCTAGTGATTGATGTTTTGAGTTTGTGATATATATATATATATATATGTAGTTGGATGGTATTAAATCTTAAATCTATTTTGTAATTAAATACAATAACAAGTAAATTAATTTTTAATGAATTAATATGATATTTCGTCATTTAAAATTAATTAGTATAAACATTCAAATACTTTGAATAGTATAATCAATACTTTATTTTTGGTAAAAGAGTAAAAAATTTTTTGAACAAAAATTTAATAATTATTTAAATTTTTGATATTTTAATTAAGCTTTTGAATTTTTTATTTCAAATAAATTAAACTCTTAAATATATATTTTTACTAAATTAAACTTTAAACATCTATTTTCACTTTAATGAAGCTTTCAATTAGCAAAAATAAGTGTTGACGGTTAATTAATTTTTGTCTAATAAGAACACAATTGATGAAAATAGGTTCTTAAGGTTTTAATTGATTGCAATAAAATGATAGAAATTTAAATTATTATTGAATTTTTGTTCAAAGGTTTTTTTTACCCTTTAGCCTTTAATTTTTTTTATTCTTGAAATTTTAAGAGTTTATATTTGATACATTGTTAGTATATAAATCGTATACATTGTTAACAAGTCAGTTGATAATATTTCGTTAATGATCAAACATCAGCCTTTAAAATAAATATGTAAAAATTAATATTTTTTAAAAAACTCGTTCATTAATAAAGTATTATTATCTAATTTATAATATTAATAAAATAATATTATCTGATTCACTGACAATATATAATATTTACAAACTAACAATGCATTAAATATAAACTCAATATTCAAAAATATAACATTATCTTTTTTTCGAAAGAATTATATATACAAATTACATCTTTATCATTATCCCACAAAGAAATACGAACATTTACCTAGTGATTATAAAAATAATCTATCATATTACTTGTATAATTAATAATTAATTATATAATCATTACAAATACATTTTTCTTCTAATTGTCACCTCAAATTTTATTATATGTAGGTATTAATTATTTACAAAATAAAAAAAGATTTTTTTCCAATTTTAAAATAATGCATTTCATGATTAGCTAAACGAGTGATTAGAAAAAAATAGATAAAATTTTGTTTAATTAGAAATAATTAAATGATAACTAAAAAATTTTAAAAATAAACCTGATGGGAAATTATTTATTATCTCTAGTCAAGTTAATTTTGGATTGCTTAACATTTCTGTAAATAAATACTCATAATAATTATTAAGGCCTGGTCCGATTATAGTCAAATTTTGGATAAAATTTTTTAGATTTAAATGGGCATTATTTTATTAATATAAAATATTTTTGTTAAATTTATTCTTAAATATATTTAAACTATTAATATAAAAATAACTATATATAATATTATATTACATAATATATAGTTATAGATAGTATTTATTAATTTGAACATTTATGTAGACAATTTATCTTTTTAATACGTAAAAAAATGCTTAAAATTTTTCTTAATAATGACATATAAGATATTTTTTAATTTTAAATTATATATAAAAAATATATATTTAAAAAAATTATTTAATTATCCAAAGCTTTCAAAATTTAAAATGAAAAAGAAATTCATATATTAATAAAAATTTATCATATTATCTATAATTAATTCTCTATTTTTTTTTACTGCAAGTGTTGGTGCAATTTTAGTTATATCTTTTTACAAAAAATCTTGATTCTAAATTTTTAAGTATTGGTTCCATATTATCAACATTTCTTTCACTCAATTTAAATTTAAAATAACTAAATAGAAAAAATTATCTATTTAAAATAAAAAGAAAATTATAATATAAATTTGAAAATTTAAAAGTTAATTTTATTTAATTCAAATTTCATTAGTTATTTAAATATATTTCTTTTAAAATTTTAAAATTTCAAATTTGAATTTTTTCCTTCATAAATTTTGTATATTTATTTTTTAAACGTTTAAAAATTTAAAAAGATAAATATCATTTATTATATTTTTTAAATTAAAATATATTATCAATTTAAAAATTATCTATACACTTAATTGTCATGCAATAAACGTATAAATGGTATATGTTAGACCATTTTTTTTTTCAATTTGCAACTTTTTTTTAAAGATATATTGTTTTTTTATAATTTTATTTTTATAAAAAAAACTAATATTCATTTCAATTCATTTTTCTTTTAACACTCATTTACTAAATCTTTTTTTTTTTTTTTGTATTTTGTTCAAAACTTTTGATCATTTATCACAAAGTGATGATATGTTCATAAATGTTTATTAAAATTCTTCTTTTTTTAGGAAATTTGTGTTAAAATATAACTTCCTATAATATCTTTCTTCTTAAAATTATATATTTTTTTGGATTTTTGATATTTTTTAATTTTAACTTATTATCAAGAAATTTTTTTTTTTAACTTTTCACATTGAATAGTGCTATTTATACTCTAAAAATTTTTCAATACACCCAAAAAATTAACCTTTAATAAAATTACTTAAATACACATTAGTTAATTGTCTTTTTATCCTTCACATCTTTTTTTTTTCTTTTCAGTAAGCTTTGAAAATTTATTTCTAGAAAAAGTAGTTATTTACCAAAATTTATTTTCGAAAATGAACAAAAGTAACGAAAATTTATTTCTGAAGCTTATTCAATGTACTAAAAATTCATTTCCAAAAACTTCTTCTATATACCAAAAATTTATTTTCAAAAACTTCTTTATTGTATCAAAAAATACAATTCTGGAAAGCATTACAATTATCTGAAAATAGATTTTCGGAAGTAATTTTTTCCTTTAGTTTCTTTTTTCATTAGGTATAAGATGGTAGATTTTAATCTTTTGATCAATGTTTGACACAAAAATATGGAATGTCTCTTGCTGCGGTCACCAAACGGATCTTTAATGATTTATTCATGATATGGGCTGTTTAAATCTGATAGTAAAAATTTTTAATTTTTTTACCACACTATTCGTTTAATAATATTTGCAATATTTTTTCAATTTTAACAAACTTGCATTTGAGAGGAATCGTTAATTGGGAAGAAGAGCTTGTGCAAGTTGACTACTACACCATATGTGATGAGGTCATGCTCATCGCACATGGTGCAACAGTCAACTTGCACGAATGCCTCTTCACACTTATTGGTTGTTCTCCGATGTACGTTTGTCAAAATTATAAAAATATTACAAAATTATTTAACGAATAGTGCCTAGTGACCAATAAATTAAAGGTCCATATTATCAGATTTGCTAGTCTATTGATGATATTATTAGGGTCAATATTCCTTACAATGTCAAATTATTATGTACCAAAAATTTTTTTTTTGAAAGTTTTTAAAACTTCTGAAAATGAATGTTTGAAAATCATTGAGAAGTTTCCAAAATTTACTTTCGAAAATTCTTAAAGATTTTCAAAAAGAATGTCTAAAACCTTTAAAGGATTCCGGAAGTGAATTTTTAGAAGATCTTTAACGATTTTGGACATCCATTTTTGAAAATCTTCAATAATTTTGGGAAATTCATTTTTGAAATGTTTAAATTGTATCCCAAATCATACCCTAAAACTTAAAATTCTAAATCTTACGAAAACTAAACACAAAATTAAATGAAAAACAAAAAAAACAAATAATTTACCTCTGATTTTAAGTTATCTAATGTCAAATGGGTGATTGGGGTTTGATCTAAGACTAAATCCTTTAAGGTTTTTGGTTGAATGAGATGGGGTGTTTAGGTTTTTAGCAAATTTTTGTTTTGGTTTTAGGATGTATTGAGTAAAAAATTGGATGTTAATAGTAATGGGGTGTGAAGAGAAGAAGTTGGGTGCGAAGAGAAGAAGTTGGGGTGCAAATAGCACCACTCTTCACATTTGTCATATATTTGCTTTGTTATGAATTAGTTTATTGAGCTCATATAATTTGATTTTGATAAAATAAGTACTATTATTTTTAAAGGAAAATTGCTCATTTCATTACTTATTTCGGTCTGTGAATGATTATTTTGAGTTCATTGGTAAGGTACCAATGATGGATATATTATGCTTTTTTGTTCTATTTTAATATAAATGACTCAATAGATATTTAACTTGATTAAATTATACATCAACACTTTAGATTTTATAGTTATATATATTTTAATATTTTAAATAATATTGTAAGATAATTAAAAAATCCAAAGGTTTTATCTATCACTTTAGATTTTTTTATTTTTATCATGTAAAAATATTTTTATATTCTATATATTTTCTCAACCATTTTATATAATTCATAATTCACAATCAAACACTCTAAATGTTTTTTCATTTTTTGTTATGAATCAAATAGATTATAAATATATATGCATTTTTAAAATAAAAACTTTAAGATCAAAATGTGATAAATTATTTTTTTATAAATAAAAAATTAAGAAAAATATTTTTCATTAAAATAATAAAAAAATTAAGATAAATTTAAAAATAAAAATTTAAAAATTTAAAAATATAATAAAAAATCTGTTTAGAGAAAGCTAGTTTTGATATAAAACAAATCAAATCGTATCAACCAAGTCTAACATGATGCGAAACTGGAAACTCTTTTATTTTACTACAATTGCTACGTACAATTTAAAAAAAAGAAGTTATCTCATATACGGTATTTCATCCACGTGTCTAAAACAAAATAGTCCACAGACCTCTTCAATCATCCAAAGCCATCTCGACCATCCAAATGTACCAATGTCCAACCAAATCGACACTCCAAATTCTTTGATCAAAATTTATTGCAACGCTACGTTCTATAAAAAATACGCACCTCCACTGCCACTATCCCACACTTAATCACTCATAATCGAAGCAGCAAAACAAGTTGCAGTTCTTACACCTAGAAGTTGATGATCTGCAAGTCCAGGTTTAAGGGATTGATAGTTACTTATGGAAACAAGAAAATATAAAGGCAGTTTGATTTTTCAGCTTTCCTGGTTTTTCTCTTACTCTTGCCACTTTAGTTTCAGAACTTTCCATCTTGAATTCTCCTTGTATCTAAATATAAATTTCTTTCATTATTACTTGACATCAAATCTCTAAAATATCTAGGGCCTAGGGGTTTCTCTTTATATAATTAGCTGCAACCAGCCTTCTGCCTCCATCAATTAAACTTCACATTCTTGTTCAGGTAACCAACCAATCTCTTTCCTTTGTGTTGGGGTGTTCTTTATTTCAAGAACTTTTTCTGGTACGTGTAACATGTTTGTTACATACTTCAACACAAAAAAAAAAAAAAAAAAACAACTATTACTTCTTTGTTGTTTCCCTGCTTTGTTCTTATTTGAATCTTATTAACTGTGAAAGGGAGGTAGCATTAATATCATTGCATTCTTCTAGCCTCCATGTTAGAATTTATATATCAACCATTTGTGTTCTTGAAGTCTGGCATCTAATAACTATCACATAGGAAATTTTATTGTCTCTCTCTGTTTTTTTTTTCCCATGTTTTCTGCTTATTTTCAAATGCATCTCTTCAAATTATTGTACTCTGTTTGGCATTCAGATGTGATTGTCATTCCTTTTCATATGATTCATGGTTTTGATATCTGTATTGGAAGAGATAAATCACATATACATTCTTGAATTTTTCCTTGCAACACTATAATTTAGAATTTGGATGTTTTGAAATCTAAACCTGCTTTCTTAAGTGCCAAATTATACTGATTTTAAAGGATTTTTTTTTTTCTGTCAGAACATTTGCGACTATCTGTTTATTCTTTTAAACCCTCTAACATATGGTCCCTTTCTTCTAGTTTGCTTTGCACAATGGTGGGAGGAAAAGTAGAATATTCTTTGGGGGAGACCAAACCGAAAATTGGTGGTGACCGAGTCTCTGGCAGTGCAAAGCTTACATCCTCATTTGACCTTGTTGAGCAGATGCAATTCTTATTTGTCAGAATAGTTAGAGCTAGAGATTTGCCATTGAAAACCGTCAATGGAATCAGTGATCCTTTTGTTGAAATAAAGATTGGGAACTATAAGGCAACAACGAAATACTTTGAGACGAAACCAAATCTGGAATGGAACAAAGTGTTTGCCTTCACAAGAGATCGTGTGCAGGGTACAGCTATGGAGATCACTGTGAGAGACAAGAAACTTGCAATTAATGACAATATGATTGGTAAGGTTACTATTAATTTCTCTGACATTCCTACTTGTCTTCCACCAGATAGTCCACTTGCTTCACAATGGTATAAGCTGGAGGACAAAAATGGGATCAATGTAGGGAGAGGAGAACTGATGTTGGCCATTTGGTTTGGCACTCAAGCTGATGATGTGTTTCCTGATGCCTGGCATTCAGATGCAGCAATTGTGAGCGGTGAATGCCTTCTGAATACTCGTTCGAAAGTATATCTTTCACCTAGACTTTGGTACCTTAGAGTTAATATAATTCAAGCACAGGATTTGGTACCTGCTGGCAACAGGAATAGAAAACCAGAAGTTTATGTCAAGGCTATTCTTGGGGATGTGATCTTGAGGACCAAAGTTTCCCCTGATAAGAATGTGAATCCTAAATGGAATGAGGATTTGATGTTTGTTGTGGCAGAGCCATTTGGTGATCCTTTAATTTTGAGTGTGGAGGATAAGCTGGGAAAAAATATGGTGGAGTGTTTAGGAAGGTGTGTAATTCGTTTATCACAGGTTGACCAGAGGCTGCTACCTGTACCAGCTGCTCCTAAGTGGTACAATCTTGAAAAGATTGTACTTGAAGATGGACGGAGGAAAGAGTTGAATTTTTTTAGTAAGCTTAACATGCGGATAACTCTGGATGGTGGATATCATGTTTTTGATGAATATATTCACTATGTTAGTGACTACCGGCCAACAGCGAAAAAGCTGTGGACGGCAATGATAGGGGTTTTGGAGTTGGGGATCATAAGTGCTAGCAGTTTGCAGCCAATGAAGTTAAGAGATGGGCGCGAAACTACTGATGCTTATTGCGTGGCGAAATACGGGCCTAAGTGGGTCAAGACTAGGACAATAGTTGACAGTTTTGCTCCGAAATGGAATGAACAATATACTTGGGAGGTTTATGATCCGTTTACTGTCCTTACTATAGGAGTTTTTGATGACTGTCACTTGCATGGTGGTGTTGTGGTTGGAGGTGGAAAAGATCCAAGCATTGGGAAGGTAAGGATTCGACTATCTACTCTTTCAACTGACAAGATTTACACATACTCTTATCCCCTTTTGGTGTTAAAACCCAATGGGTTGAAAAAAATGGGAGAAATTCAGTTAGCTGTAAGATTTACTTGCTCATCGTTCTTGAAGTTATTTCTGGCTTATACCATTAATCCTTTGTTTCCGAAAATGCATCATATTTACCCGCTCTCCATATATCACCTCGATAGTTTAAGGCAACAAGCCACTCGTATTCTTTGTTTAAGGCTAAGCCGCTCTGAACCACCATTAAGGAGAGAAGTTGTGGAGTACATTTTGGATGGAGGTTCCCAGATGTGGAGCCTAAGAAAAGCCAAAGCTAATTTCGAAAGACTATTGGCTACTTTGAAGTGCTTTTTGGATGCTTGGAAATGGTTTGATGAAATACGGAGGTGGAAGAATCCTACGGTAACTATTCTAGTCATATCAATATACTGCATTGCGGTTCTTAAACCAGATTTGATATTGCCTACACTGATTCTATATTGCCTTCAAGTTGGGATTTGCCGATGGAGGAACCGACCGAGGCATCCAACTCACATTGATGTCAAACTTTCCCTTGCTATTTCAACAACTGCTGATGAATTGGATGAAGAATTTGACACATTCCCATCTTCTAGACAATCTGACGTTCTTAGAATGAGATATGATCGGCTGAGAAGTATAGCAGGGAGGGTTGTGACTGTTATTGGTGACTTTGCAACTAAAGCTGAGAGGTTTCACTCTCTGCTAAACTGGCAAGACCCAAGAATTACAGCTGTTTTCCTTACTTCTTGTCTGGTAGGTTCTTTCCTCTTATATTACGTAAATCTCAAAGTTTTTCTTATCGTTGGTGGCTTTTATTGGATGAGGCATCCAGCATTTGGTAATGACATTTTAAATGCACCCCAGAACTTCATGAGCAGATTGCCCACAAAAGCAGATTACATGTTATGAGAATACATTTCTTTTTCCTTCTTTTAACAGTTCTTTTAAAAGATGTAAGCAAATATTCTTTTTCTTCTGATTAATAAAATTACAAACCATGGAGCTTTCTTCTTTACGTATTTCTTTTATGTTTAAATCAGATTTTATTTTCTTCCATCTCCTACAATCACCAACACACATTTCAACCAATTCTTGAGCTCTTTTACTCTCTAGACTTGTTCTAATAAATTGGCAAAAAAGAACTTCATTTACGAAAGAAATCAATAAACAAATTGAATAAAATTAACATAAAGTTGTATTAAACTTTAAAAAAGAAGATGAACTTGATCCTGAAATCACTGCTGCTAAACAATGGCCAACCATCTACTCAAACTAATTGAGGTATCCCTAACAAACAACGCGGTGGGAACAAACAACCACCAAGACTTCCTCAAATGTGCATATCAAAGTTGAGAAGATGGTGTTACGATTTGCTTGATTGTAATAGAATTACAGAGTCAGCAAGTAGAATTAAATGGAAAATTATTTCCTTTCCCATATATTTTATTTTTTTTTAATTTAATGTAATCAATTGTTGTGCAATGCATTTTAGATTTTAATCTACTTATTTAACTATTGAACAGAAAAATGCATGCAATCCAATATTAACACAAAGCACATTCAAGAAAGGTGGCACTAATACTGCTAGGATGGAACCAGGTAGGTAAACACAAAAATATGATAAAGTTCTAGTTTATTTAAACTAATAAAAGACACGTGATGCATCAATTCCATATCGAAGTTTCAGTTACTGGAGTAATGGAAGAATAGAGGTGGCAAATAATTGATCTGCCAAGACTTACTATGTTTCAGAGAGTTGGTTGATGTTGCTTCAGGCAATGTGTAGATTATGACACACATAAACAAGTCATCTCCAGGGAGTATGTCAGAGGAATATTTGTACGGGCGATATATAACTGACATTGACTTCAAACACAAGCACCTATGCAGTTTTTGTTTATAGATGCTGACAATAGATGTCCACAGATTCTTGAAATGACAATGTTTTAAGGCTCCAGATCCAGCTAATCTAGGATGATTTTCATGGCTCCACGATAAGCTTGAAGGGATTCAGCTCAGCCGACAAGAAAAAAATACCTTGGAATTACCAGTAAATCCGTATAATAATTCAAAGCACACGCTTAATAGGCATGGAAATATTAAGGGAATTACCCTTAGAAGAATTTCAGATTTCATTATGAGGATTCAACCTTAGCAACTCCACCATCTGCAGGCCCATAGTTTGATGCATTCTCAGAGGTATCTATGCAAGGACTGTTCTTGAAATGCTCCACGTGTTGGGGTCCCATCAATGGGGAAGGACCTTTTGAGACATTGTGAGCGAGGTTTTGTTTAACTTGTGAATTGTCTGATAAGCAACCCGGCAAACTCATTAAACCCACTGATTTGCGTTCATATGAGAACTTTGAGGAAGCAAGTGATCCAGTTGTCTCAGGATGCTTTCCTGACAACTCGAGAGGCCGATCGAAGAGTAAATGAGCAACAGTACGATCTATGGGATTGGTCTCTGTTTCTGCATCAGACATCCTGTATCATACATTCAAAGAGAATAAGATGAGACTTGGAACTTCTGATGCAATCTAACTCCAGCAGGCCCAAAATGCAGCATTAAGTGTTAAAGATGGTATTCTAAGTTCCGAAAAAACTGTTGATTCAGGGAAAGAACCCGAAAAGTTCAGAAGAATGACTTTAAAATGATATAACATAAAGTAATGAAATCCTCGCAGAGACAAAAATAATCCATAAACACAACTGAGTAAGCATGTATGTATTTAACTTAGACAAGGACACACATACTAGCTGTTAATAACATGACTTGCAGAATTCAGTTTTGACAGGTTTTTTCTTTTTTTTTTTTTTCTCATTTTTCATCATTACAAAATATAGACAAACATATTGCCATGCCTGACACCCATCTCCAATGTCAAAGCATGACATCTTAGTTTATGTGCTTCAAGCAAATGTTCAATTTAAAAGTTACCAAATTTTGAGTTTCTTCTTCCTGAAAATAATTTAACCGCAGAACATTTCAGTTTCCTTGCAAATTCTTCATTTGTGGATGCATATTCCTATTTTTAAGCCAATGATTGTATATTCTTTGACATTTTCATCTTGGCTATATTTGATCTTTTGGTTGTCCGCATGAGCTAGAATGGATTTTTATCTCATAAGAATTGGGACTTCAGATGGAGACTACAATTATCTTTAACCCCAAAAGAATACAAATAAAACTCTTAGAGCTTGAAGCAAACCCTAAATGGGTGTAAAATATAACTAAAAACTGATTTAAACCTAAGCTATTAATTATGGATTTATCTATAATCAAATATCAAAGAAGGAATGCCCAGATAAAAAAAATTAAGTTGCTTAACTTAATTACATGCACAGAAAAGGAATTTGCTGTTATCCTTCCATACCTGAATCTCATTTAATGGAAAAATTGGAAATGGAAATCATATTGCACTAACAAAATGGACATATAAGAGGTGCTGAGTTCTCTAAAAATTTTAGCCGTAGGAGAGATGTTGAGAATTTTTTTTTTTAAAAATTCATTTAGGTAGGAAGGAAATAAGGGGGTTAAGGAAGGAAAAAGTTATAATCTAATGATTGCGCTACAAAATAGCACATGTTGTTGTAGAGCTCAACCATTAGTTAGAACATTTTCCTTCCTTACCCCTTTCTTTTCTTCCTACCAAATGGAGTGTTAAGAAAAATCCATTCAATTTCCTATAAGATTAAGAAAAATCCATAATTTCCTTTAAGATTATAAATTAAAAAGAAAAAGTATATCTCAAAAGGAAAACTCATGACAGCAGATCATTATGCAAAAATAATTTGTCTCTAGATAAAAAAATTTCTTCTTAGTCAACCCAAAATGAAAGAAAGATACTAAGGCCTTAAAATCTTCCATTTTTCTACTTCTTTCCATAAATTAAGAAGGAAAAGAATGCCATGGGGACCCAACGAAACTGCCAATAGGTACATAATAGAGCCAGCTTAGCCAAAGTGAGAGAAAGAAAAACACAAAAAAAATAGAGGATAAGAAATTTGAAGCGAAAAGGATCAGCAAATTCTCATAAAAGTAGAGAGAGAAAAGATCAGCAATTCATCAACCAAGGAAACAAGTTATGCCCAAGAAGAAAAAGGTTGAACGCCCTCCTTTTTCTATATTTTATGTCTTGGCTGAAAATGCATTGACTCCATACTAAGTCAAAATTCATCTTTTTTAACAAAGCGTACATTCCTTTTAATAGTACAAACCATAGTTAACCCCAGGCTATTTAAACTTTAAAGTGTTAGTATCAGCAAATTGTCATAAAGCCAAAGAAAAGCAAGATCTTCATTTCATCAACCCAGAAAACAAAAGAAAAAAGAAAAAGAAAAAGAAAAGGGAATCTTTAAAAAGAACACCCTTCCTTTTTATCTATATTTTTCATCTTGGATTAAAATACATTTATGCCTTGGTAAGTCAGCACTCAGCCATTAATGACATTAGGTAATGAAGTGCAATGTAATTTTAGTAAAACCTTTGAAGAGTTCATTAACAGAGATTAACCTTTCCAAGATAACATAAAATCAATTTCACTTTTGAAATAAATATAAATGCAACAGCATAGAGTTTACTAACCTGTTATGGTTCTTATTTTCCTCTTTTGCAACTTCATTTTCAACCCTGCTACTTTTGTTCGTGCTGCTTGTGTCACTAGCATAATGTCTCTGCAACGCACTTTGAGCCAACCGGAACAAGCTATCTCTTATGCAAAGTCTAATTCTGACATCCAACTTCAAAAATTGATATGTTGGTGTCAGTAGTTCCTTATTAGCCAGCAAGGAAAGAAATTCAGCAGCAAGTCAAGCATACCTTTGCAATTATATCTTGTAGCTGACACAGAACTGTGTCTTCCACCGAATGGTTGTCGACTGCAACAGAGATTGTATTAGAATCATCTTGCTCTAGAGGTGAGTTTGGGTCAAAAGACGCAAGAGTGCTAAGGTCTTCAACATCAGCTTCCTCAACATGTTGAAATTGATTTTCTTGAGTAGATTTTTGAATGACAGAATGATTGGTGCAAGGAACTTGATGAGTAAACTGCTGTTGTTGTTTCTGAATGGCAAGCAGTGCTTGCATTTGCTGGCGCCGCCTCAATTTTTCGATTTTTTCCTGAGGTGTCATGCTCAAGGGTTTTGCAGAAGCCTCAACAAACCTGCTTACAGGATTTGCCTTGCAAGGGGAAATGTCATAACAAGAAAGCAAGGGTTGCTGATTAAATTCCCCAGACTCGATGTTTGACAAAACTGGCATTGCAGGATATTGGTTTGCAAAATTCCCATATGAGGAAGGGGTTACATATATATTGGATATGTGCTGGTACTGCAGTGAGTCAGATCCTTGAAGCTCCCTCTGCTGACTCACAACTGAAGACGGAGAAGATTTTACCATGGAGGTTGCCAAATTATTCTCATATTGAGCCAATGGGTTTCCAGATGGATTCCAGGTACCATATAAATCCTGTACTAGTTTTGCCTCACCTATTTCTTCAGGTTTTGTTTGAAATTTCAACAGCTTTTTCTGTCTATATGCCTGTGCACAGAAGTATTAAACTAAAATAAAACATTGAAATCTTGAAGGGAATGCCTAAATTTATAATGCCAGTAAATTAATGCAATAATTTATATATTGCCTATTCAGAGCATCCTCCAATCCCCAGGAAAAAAGAGGAGGAAAGAAGAAAGAAAAGATGAACCGCTAAAGAAGTTCTCTTTTTTTCTTTGGCTAAAGAAAGAAGATATCATTTAAGAGAAAGCAATTACTTGACCTTGAAGGACAAACAAATATATGCCAAACACATAAAAAGTCCTCTCTGGACAACATTTTAAGGTGAAATGAGCTATAACTCTTTTCTACATGAACAAGTTCGAGCTATCCTTAGTTCAAGCAATCTCAATCATTCCCAACTTCAATAGTTGAATAGACAATATAAATCAGTGAACCTATTGTCACTGTATATAGCAAACTTTAGCATGCTCCAAACTAAACTGCTGCCTGATGGTTACTTGCCAAGTCCACATAATACAAGAAAGTAGGCCTTTTTAGCTCAATAAATTTAACAGTAAACATTACAACATCAATATAATAGTATATTCTCAGCATCTATTAGATAATCCAAACTCTGAGTTATATCAGCACCTACCAAAAGCTTGAATAAAATTTAACAGTAAAATGCCGCAAGGGCTTGAAATATTACACTTTGTTTTCATTGGAAAGCACATAACACAGTTAAATGTCAAAGTCAAACATAGATTCAAAATTGACAGGAAGAGGCACTTTCTACCCAGATGGTTTTCATTGGATAATATTGTTAGAGATCTTCCAGAAGTTAATGATACCAAGCCAAACCCACTAATTCTGTGTAGGGCACCTAGTAAACAAATTCAATCCATCTATTTTGTTTGTAGCTAGCAAAATCATTTATTTAAAAATTCTACACTGAAAGACGCTAGGCTCTTTCCCTTCCCAATATAGCACACGAGAAAGGTTCAAGAAACTTATACCCATGGTTCTGTAACTGCACAATAAATGAGACATCATAAAAACTTGCCATCCTAGGACTATGGAAAATAGTATTTTATTGTAAATCTTGAAGAGAAATATTAGAAACCAAAGATAATTTGAATAGTTAAGTATTAAGAGTATGATAGGAATACCTTCTCAGCCAATTCATTATGGGTCATAACTTCTTCAGCAACCAGACAAGACTTTGATGCACTGGTTTTTCCCCCAGTTTCCACATTTCTCTGTGAAAGTGAAAATAGAAATTAGTTTATTACTTTGGTTTAATTGTCTAAGTTAAAAGCATAAGTAACAAAGAATTGATCATACTGCATGTTGATGTTTCACACCTGCTCTTCAATTATGGATTTACTTTTATCTCCAGGAAATTCCACATTATGCACATCATGAGATGGGGAACCAACCATTTCCCCATAGCTAAGGGTAAATGACTGATTATCTTGTTGCTCATATTTTCTCTTGATTTCCGAACGTTCAGATGTGCTCCTTAATGCTCCTAATCCTAAGCTAGAAGAATCCATAGTGGTAGGAAAGGATTTTCCTGGGCTGTTTGTTATCTCTTTAGATGAGGGCCATAACTCATCAGCACTACCAAGGCTTCCATTGCCAAATATTGGGTCGTCATTGCTGCAAAATCATCCCTTGTGAGAATATTGAGTCAGATGGATGCCATTGTATATGATGAAAAGGAGAAACAAGGAACGGAACACTATGATTAGAGTTCTTCTTTTTTTCCCAGAAAGGGGGGGCAGGGTATTGGACTCCTCACAGATTTTTCTGACACTAGTTTGCAACACTGCTACAAAATGAAGAGAAACACATAACAAGTGTATATTAAATTTGGACCAGCAGAATGATCAAACTGGTGTCACTGCTGCAAAATCATCCCTTGTGAGAATATTGAGTCAGATGGATGCCATTGTATATGATGAAAAGGAGAAACAAGGAACACTATGATTGGAGTTCTTTTTTTCCCAGAAAATGGGGGCGGGGTATTGGACTCCTCACAAATTTTTCTTACACTAGTCTGCAACACTGCTACAAAATGAAGAGAAACACATAACAAGTGTACATTAAGTTTGGACCAGCAGAGTGTTCAAGCCGGTGCAGGAGTTTCAGGTTCTTTACTTTTACATTAAGGGTACACAGAATAGTTATAACTTGGAGCAAATGAAAGTAGAAAATTTCAAAGTAAAAAGTCCATGAAAATAACTGGTCATTTATGTTAAGACAGTAAAGGTTATGCCAAGGTGACAAAAGTTATCAACTTGTGGTTACTTACTGAATTCAAAAGGAAAAATGAAAATCATAACAAATACTGCTTGCCTGACTGCACAAATGCCAATCTTCCAGACTAGATTGTCAAGACAATGCTTTCATAAGCTACAAGAACAATATAAATTGTGCTTTACCTAAAAATTCGATCAAGATCATCAAAGCTTCCAATGTTAGCCCAGCTATAGTCAACAAAATCTTGTTCTTTACCATCATTGGGATTTCGATCAGGATCTTTACTAAGTTCAGTCATCTCCTCTGTTCAGATAATGTGGATAATTAAGGTTATAAAACAATAAAGAAAAAACAAATGTTATTGGTTTTAGTCTGAATAACTAATATTCTCATCATTTTTTAAACTAAATTTAGTTACTTCAACCAAATTGTTAGAGACTTCTCTACCAATAGAATCCTGATCAGTTTTTGCTGTATTAGATGAAGATAACTCTGGCCATGAGCCCATACCAAATCCTGAAGTGGCAATCCCTCCATTTGCATTGAAATTGGAACTGCCATCTAACTTTGTTCCACGAAGATCAACTTTAACCCCAGATGTCTTTCGCTCAGTAGACTTTATGGTTGCAGTTTCTTGACTCCATTCCTTCTTACTACTACAGTTTTCACCTCCCTCATGATAAGGTACTATATGGTCATCAGTCTCACCATCCTCACCCCATATTATATCCCTTAACTGAAAACATGACAAAGGGTCCATATCACCATTCATATCACATCCAAGAAGGTATTATCATATCTTTAAGCAATCAAAATAATGATATTTAAGCAAAAAATAAAATAATTGAAAAGCTATAGCAAAGCTGCAGTTCAGTTGTCTGGTTTATGGGTCCAAGGATGTGCCTGATTAAATCAATTGTTATGCCTTTAGGTTCTTTCTAAAATCAATCTTTGCCCGCAACAATAATTTCACCACAGCAAATTAGATAGAAATTATTAGAACTATTAGATACCAGAAGGATAGGTTATGAGTTTCTTCAATGGAAATTATGAACAAAATATCAAACTCTATCCCCAACCCAGAGCATTACTTTGTTAACTTGTGTTGCAGCCTTTATTCCACGAAGCCTCTTAATGCTCTTTCCTTTTGCTCAAATGTTTTGACTTCACTCAGAATCCATTAAATCTTCCTTCAACATGATTTGGTCCCAAAAATGAATTTGATCTCAAGAATTTTTATTGTTTCTATGTTGATTGGAGCTAATAGTGTTTATTATTTACTTTAAATCACAATGCAAAGCATCCTTCCCACAAATTTAACCTTAGATAACACTACTTTCCATAAGCAAACAAAACAAAAAATTACAAAAACAAAATAAAATAATACACAGTTGTCTCACTTGGATGTCAAGCTAACAGATTCAACAGTTGTTTCAAAAAGCAAACGTTGCTCTTAAGAGGCTACATTCAGGCCCGATTACAATCAAGAGCTGCTTCAAATGCTAAGCATCCATTGTTGTCAAGCCTATGATATTACTGCCACACAACTGCAGACAAGATTGCACAAGCTTCCCCCGCATGCAAATATAAAGGAAATGAATATCCAGACAAAATCTTTCTTGGGAAGTTACTAATACAAAGCTCACTGATGTAGGTACATAGACGCAAGCTCTCCGAAATCTAAAGGAAAAAGGGAGAGAAAGAAAAAGGGAACATTACCTTAGACTACTAAAAGAAATGGCTAACAAAGACTGCAAGTGGACTGGTTCTCAGCACTCTTAGCCATATGCTATCCAGAACCGTGCATGTTTACCAATCTAATACATCTGTCGAATAAAAACCAAGGCAGGATTAACAACTAGAAAGTTAATCTCCCTCTGAGTTTGCATCTACGGTGACATGAAATTTCAGTTACGAATATAGGCTGTCTTGACATTGTAAATTTTAGTATTCTACGTCAAAATATGAGCTATCACCTCCTAATGATGTAGAGCAAGTTTCTCAAAGAAAACACTCAAGAATAATCTGAAATTTTTAATGAAATTCTCTAAATCTCAATTCTCAACTCTCAATAGTCAATTCTCAGCATCAAAATCTCCAAGATCAAAGCCTTGATACTCAAATCTCCATAATTCAGAACATTCCAAACTTTATATTTCATAATCATAAGCTCCCGGAAAGTAAAATAATTTGGGTACTTAAAGCTAAACCCTAAACCTAATATAAGCTCAAATTACGAAATATAACCATAATGCTGTAATACTTGGAAAATAAGTATAATGCTAATAATATAATGAAACCCAAAATTTCCTAAATATCCGTAAAAAACAATTAACACATATAACATAACAAAATAGCAAACATAAATCTGAAGAGTTTAATCCCTTAAGTAGCTTTTATCCATCTTGGCTAAATAGGGATGACCTTAAATATGTGCCAACCTGTCTAGAGGGCTCCAGCAGGTTGCTTAGTGATTGGACAGCTCTATTTGTTAATAATGGAATACTTATCTTATAAATAAATTATTTTTTAGCTACAAGAATGATCTTCAATGCCAACTATGATCAAGTCTATTAACCAAGGACTCCAATAGCAATTCCAATATAAAGGGGCTAGACAGAACTTTACATTAAGAAATTATCTACAGTCCCTTGAGATGACACTTTAGTCTCTGTTAGGTATCAGGAAACTAGGGAGTGGCAAAACTAAGTTAGAAATAATAATAAATAAAGAAAGTGGGAAAGAATGAAATGATGATCAGAAACCAAACACAAAAGAAGAAGAACCTTCATCCTTGAACTCATTAAGAAACATGAAACCTTTAGCACAACTGCAACAACAATAAACCCCACTTAAAATTTTAGCTCTTATTACAATCTTTATTGTTAAATATATGGTTAACCACTTTTTAAATGTTTCTCTTTTTCCAAAACATGAAACCGAGCATTTCCACACCTTAATTGAAGTATAAACCCTAGCCCTTCTGCTCTAAAATCCTGGCCCTAAACAATAATTTTTTCCAGCTCTAGTGCAGTAAGTGAATTTAAGTAGGTTTCAGTCTACAATTAAGCAAGGTTTCTCTTGGATCCACTGACTCATTTAAAATTTTGAATTATTTCAAGATAAAGTTTCTGATTCCACCAATTCTTAATGCTACTTAAATTCCATCTGACACAAGAGCCATTAGTCTATTTCTCTACACTGTTATAGCAATTTAAAACTTCAAGTTTTCTTCCAATCTCTATTTCAGTACTCTATCTTTAAGAATTATATTGGTTATACCCTGCCCCTTCCCTCCCTCCTACATGCTTCTTATTAATTTTTTCCAAATACTGATCATATTATATTCATTCACGCTGTTCTTTACTTTATCTAGTTTTATGTTTTCATGTTAAGTTAATAGGAGGCTAGAGAACAGAGAATAATGCTCCCCCATGTGCATAAACCATTTACTTACTAGCAGACTAGTTTAGCTCTCATTGATTGTCATCTTTCATGCTTTCTAGTTCCTAAACCAGATAACTTCATCATGACGAATTGTTTTAATAACTCATAAATACCAAAGCTCCATTTTCAGTTTCACCCTAGAAAATGTCCTTCAAACATCTCAAGACTCCTCAACTCTAGTACAGCTTATCACGTTCACTTTAACCTACGACTCCACTTTCCTAGATCTCTAACATTAACCCATTTCCATGTTAAGTACTGAAACTCTTCTTTACCTAAATCCCAAGACAGCTTTCAACCCAAGAAAGAAAAAGATTGAATTTTTAAGCAAAAAATTTCTAAAAACCATAGTTTAAAAAAAAAATTATAACAGTTACTATAAATAATGATTGTGAGACAATCTTAAGCGAAAATGTTTCCTTACATAGAAACCTTAACAAGTGCGCTTTAATTTTCATAGTAAAACAATTCAATGAGAAAACACAGACAGAACACAGAAAATAGCAATCTAAGCAATCTCATAAAAGCCAAACACAAATTTTCAGTTAAATTTATTCCAATAACAATTACTTCAACAGAAAAAAATTAACAAGTTGAATTAAAAAATGAAATTGACTTCATATTTTGTGCAACGACATACCCAAAAAATTAAAGAAAAAAAGTCATTTATTAAAAATTCTTTTCAGGAAAAACAAGTCAGAAATAATTACCTCTTCTTCGTTCCAATCAAACATCTCTAAAGAAACCGCAGCTGATCACAAATCCAACTCCAAATCCCAATTCAAAAGTACGTGCCACAATTGCCCCACACATCGCCAATTCCACCAAAAATTTTAAAGAAAATACAAAACAAGCTAACACAACAACATATAAAACATTCCACAAATTAAAATAAATTTACTTTCTTTGATTTTTCATATTATTTTTACCGGACGAAGAGAGTGATGGTAACAGAGAAAACGAGAGAAAAAAAAAATGGGAAGAGAGTGAGGGAGGAGGGACCCAGTTCACGTGACGTCATATGAGAGGTGATTGGCAGATAAGATGACACGTGTGAAGGAATGTCTAAAGATGTGGTTAGGAATGAGCCAATCTTTTGCCGAGTCGTGATTGGAGGGCTTTGATTACATTTCAATATTCAATTCAATTTCATTTTGAATAAAAAAACAAATGATTCGTATATTCGTTCAAAAATCAAAATTTAATATTTTTATCCTAATTTGAACTAATTTAATTCTTATACTTTTGACTTACAAAATATGACTCCAAAGTTTAATAGAATTACAAAATCATTTTTAAATTACTGATATAATAGTTTTTTAATCATGTAAATTGCTAATGTAATTTATTTTCCTGGTTATGTAAATTATCAAATAAAATAATTATTTTTTATTTTTTTCCTTTCATTCTCTCTTAAACTCGACCTTGATATCTAACACTTTCCAGAATAATGGTTGAAATTCATAAAGCTAAAAATTTCAAAACAATGGATGAAATTTGATAAAAATTTAGGTTATTCAAAACAATGTATCATTGTGATATATGCACCTACCCTATTAAATCAATTAATGCTTACTTTTTTTTTTTTTAACAAAACCGATAGAAGAGCCAGCTATTAGTATATTTTTATCGTATAAAATATTAAAATTTATGTATTCGTATTATATTTTATATAAAAATTAAATATTATAATTTATATTTACATAAAAATATAAAATATATTATTTTGATTTTGGTCAATTCATTATAGTTATTAATAAAATTTTAAATCATATTACTTTCGTATATTTTTTTTGTATTGTATTTATGTCGTATCAACGTGTTGTATTTTAAATTATCATGTTTAACTAATAGCTAACAAAAATAATTTCTTTTATAAAAAAGGTTACAATATTAAAGAGGAATAGATATTAAAATTTGAATTTAAATTTATTTGATATTAAATTTCATATTGAAAGTATGCATACCATTTTTAATTCATTAATCTCTTGTCCTTCCCAACCAGTGGAGTCAAGCTTAAGTCGCAAAGCAGAAAACTTTTGTTGATCAATTCCATTAACTTTTCACCCTTGCACTTACTCTTACAATTATCGATGCAATTTATAGAGTTTCGCAGTAAAAAGAATTGTATGGCTAGAAATGAGAGTTGTTATTCTTTGAAATGGCAGCATCTGTTAAAACAGATTAATCCTTAGAACATCATGCTTTAGCAAGGCATAGAAAATATTATATTATATGCAGCTAAGCATAAATTATCAAAATATCAAAAGATTTAGGTTTCTTAAGTTCAACTCTATCAATATTTGCTTATATTGTGTTGTGAATTGTGAGGAATTCCTAGTACTAAAAACAAGAGCACCGGTAATTAAATCTTCTTCAAAATTCATTGATATCTGTGGAGGTTAGAGGAAATTGGTCCAAAAAATTAGCCACCATTGATGTTCCTAATCAGTTTCCTAATCAGCTAAGCATCAAGCGTCTAGCTTTCTGGTGATTTTGAGGTTAATCCCTTTGACCTCCCCATTAGCATTTCTATTTCATTCTTAAATATTATATCATCAGTTTTTTCTTTCTTTTTTTTTTTTTTTTTTATAGTAATTAAGATTGATTGTTGTGAATAGAGAGCGGTGTATCGTTGGATATTGGATCTAGCAGATCGAGATGCTGTCTTATCCGATGTGGCCATACGAAAACCAAGCCCTGATCACTATGTGATCATTGAAATTTCATGCACCGGATCCCCTGACGAGCTCTTGGCTGTCAGGAGAGTCTATCAGGCTCGATACAAGAATTCCCTGGAGGAAGTTGTTGCTGCTCGCACCAATGGAGATATCCGAAAACCATGTCCTCATCAATATATTATTTTTCTTTTTACTTCATTTTAAGGTTTATGAAACCTTGGGGAACAAGTAATTAATGAAGGTTTTTGGTTGCTGTTACAGCTCTTAGCTGCTTTCGTAAGTGTGTTCAGATATGATGGAGAGGAGATAAATACCGGACTAGCAAATTCTGAAGCCAAGATTCTTCATGATGGTATCAAAGACAAGGCATTCAATCATGAAGAAGTTATCAGGATCCTGAGTGCAAGGAGCAAGATGCCACTCATGGCGACTTTCAGTCGCTACAGAGACGATCTAGGCACTTCCATCACACTAAAGTACACATAAAAAGCTCCTTTTATCAAAGCTTCAATAACTTAAAACAAGCTATGTTAGTGTCAAATGTATTCTCAATTAACTTTTTTCTTTCCTCTTTCTCCAGAATTTGCTAGGTGATTCAAGTGATGAATTCCTGCTGGCATTGCGTACTGCAGTTTGATGCCTCAATGACCCGAAAAAATAATCTGAAAAGGTTAAGCCTTATGATTCTAATACCATTTTAGTAAGACTTTTTCATCAAATTAAGCATTGTCTGCTATAGGTTTTGCACAATTCGATCAAAAGGATTGGAACTGAAGAGGATGCTCTTACCAGAGTGATCATTACGAGGGCTGAAAAAGACCTGAAACAGATCAAAAACCCTTATCACAAGATAAACAGTGTGGCTCTTGATCAAGCTGTTGCTAAGGACACCCCAGCTGATTACAAAGTCTTCTTACTCTGTTGGGGAAGGAAAATTGAAATCCTTATTGGCCTCTCTTTTGATTCAAAAATTATTTATGTAATCAAATTTGCTTGCTGTATTTAAAGCCGCTCTTTGTCATCACATATCAACACAGAACAGTCAAAGGGGTAGTTAAATATGTATGTTTCCATTCATGTTAAGATGCGTTTCACCAACAGTTTCAACTGGTTAGACATTATTTTATGGGGACAGATTTACTTGGAAACTATGTACTGCATTGTTATAAACAACTACATAATTGTATTTATGGATAAACTATCATGGATTATTCCTAATAGGAAAGGCAAAAAAACCAAAAACCTTGATCCAATGCTAATCAAGGTTTCCTATAGTGCAGATTGGAAAATCATCTCAGCAAGTTCCTGCAACAACACAAACAAAACGTCCTTGTCATTAGCATTACTTGCTATTTAATGTCAACAGCTTGTATATGTGACAATGAAAGAAGAAAGCTCGAGAAAAAGATCTAACTACACTATTTTCTAGGTTAAAGTAATGCATAACGGAGTGTATATAAAAGAAAAGTAAACAGTCAAAAAGGCTCTATGAAAAGAATTGCCTTATCATTTTTACAAAACCCAACCCCAAATCCAAACCTCTAATAGTAGAGCAGAATGGTCATCACAGTCAATCATAAAGTTGAAAGAATATAAACATTATAAAAAGTAATATATCTAACTACCTGCTTGGCTGAAGCAACCTTGGGCTCTCCCCATTCCATGGCTTTCTTCTCAAGCATTTCAAAATCAGCTATACCAGCCTGTTGGATGATGTATTGCTTACATTAGACATAGGAAATGCCTATTATAGGCCGAAAAGGAAGTTAATACAAAGAATATAACCTCAATTTGGGCACCAATTTCTGTGTCAAAGCTGGAATATCGTTTACGAACAAGCTCAGCCAAAGAACCATCCTACAAATACAAATCCATTAATATTGTCAAAGCGAAGAGAAAAGTGACAGGCATGGTCAAAAATTGGAGGAAACTTGATATTATATACTTCAATCAGCTTGGCAGCATTTCGGAGTCCACGGGCCAAGGTGTCCATTCCACTAATATGAGCAATGAACAAGTCCTCAACATCTGTGCTCTCTCTCCGTCTAAAAATCATAAACAGTAAAAAAATTTATCTCAACTGGATAAAGAAAATGAGTGTGTGGGTAGACACAACACAACTGCAAGAAAACAAGGAAAAGTTTACACTCACAATTTTGCATCAAAGTTGAAGCCTCCAGGTGCTAATCCTCCCTGCCATAAACAAAAGCGTAAACGCCAAATGTAACCCCAATTGAAAGTCAAACCCTCTTTGAATTATCAAAAGTAATTAAAAAGAATCCTTCGCATACATTTCTTATCACACTAAGCATAACCATAGTTGCCTCTCCAATATCTGTCAAGAATTGATCTGTATCCCAACCTGTATTGCAAACAAATCCAAATCTTCAACTCTAAGAAGATTGTAATTCCAAGTTTGTCAAATGAAACTAGGAAGCTTTGTAAGAATAGAATGCATTTTATTGAATGGTACCAATCTGAGGATCCCCCGTGTTTGCATCAATATTTCCTAGCAATCCATTGATTCTTGCAGTCTCAAGATCATGATGACAGCTGCCAATTGCACAAGCACCATAGGTTGGCAGAGGAATTTCCATCATGCAGTTGTTGGTAATGGGCAATAATTTTACTTGGAAATAATAAGTATAAGAAAAACTGAATGTATGGAACACGACAAACCTGTGACCAGAGAGTGTGGCATGGTTGCATTCAATGTTCAGTTTGAATTCCCCTGCAAAAGGAAATAGTGAACAATGAGTAAAAAATTTAACTGCCTACCAACATAGATAACATCTGGAAGATTTTCCTTTTTCTTCTAATATAGATGGAGCTGATCAACTAGAAGTTCCAATATTCTGGAAAGCATGGTTTGGATCATTAATTTAAAATAGGTATTTGAATAAAGTGACAGTTCACTTTACTATAGTTTCTGTTGGAAACCAAATACTCCACAAAATGGTTCTACATCACAAAATATCATAAAGCCAATAAAATTCCAAATTAAGCGACATTATTCTCTGGGCTGAGGGTTATGCTTTCTCATCATATATTTTGTTTCTCAGCCAGCTAATCTTACCATGTAATCATCATGTTCTTCTTTATTTATCAGGTCCTGGTAAGAGCATGACTTATACACTTGCTCTTACTAAATGGTGTAAGTTTTCACTTTTCAACCGGCACATATGGTCACATTCATGAAATCAACACTTGCTTTATCAGGTAAGAGTTATCTATGAGACAAGTTGCCTCAAATGCACAAGTTTAGGTTATACTTTATTTTGCTAATGCATGCTGAAAATTGGTACCATGATTTACGAAAATAACATAGTTATCAAAGATCATTTGGAAGGCTACATCAGGGATCAGATGAGAATTCATTAGAGCTCACCAAGTAGCCCATATTTTCGCAAGAAGTTAGCTGTTGTTGCAGCATCCCAGTCATA